GCGCAGGAGGCCTGGGCAAGTCCGTGGGGCCACGGGGGCTCACTTGAGGCGGTAGAGGACCTTGCGCTGCATACGATGCTGGATCTCGCCCCGTCGTAGCATGAGCTGCAGGACCTTGTGGATGGCGTGCTCCGGGTATTTCTACGGACACAAGGCCAGATGCGGGAGCGTGCCTCCCGAGGGGACCCCAGAACACCCCGCTGGCTCACCCTCTGCGCTCTCCTATCCTCCCTGCTCTCAGAGAACATTCTGGTTTAGAAAACGCCTTCACACCCGTCTCCGTCCTTCCTAAGAAGAGCTCCCACGTCCTTAGCACCTACAACATGCCAGACACTGTTCTGTACATCAACTCACTCCCTCCCCGTGCGGCTAGTCCGCTGATTACTCCCGTGTTACAGGGGAGGAGCTGAGGCGCAGAGAGGCGAAGTCACTTGCTCAAAGTCACACAGCAATTAAGTGGCAGAGCTGGGACTTCAACGGAGTCCACCTGACTCCAGAACCCAAGCTCCTGACACCCTACACTTCTCTAAGCCTCGGTCTGCTCGCCTACAGAATGGGCGTAGTCCCACCTACTGCCCGAAAGTGCTCTGAAGACTGAAGCAAGATGACGTACATGAAGAGGAGCTGAAACCAGAAACTGGTGGACTGTTCCTGTGGTTTTAAAGACAGAAGCAGTTCTCCACAGCATCTAGAAAGCCCCACTCCTCTCTCTCTGGGGTCAAGAGCATTGTCCTCCAGGAGCTGGACGGCTCACTCTCCTGGCTCTGCCCCCGCCCCCAGCCCCATAAAAGCCAGGCAGTGGGGGAAGGGATCGATGGGAAGGGCTCGGGGAGCCTGACTGTGGTTCTACCAGAACGCCAGCCCCCTGTCCTCTCCCCTAATGGGACAGATAAGTGCCCCCTCCCCAGACTGAAGCAGTCCCTAGGGAACGAATGACAGGAACAGGTCCAGGACAAGAAACAGCTGCCCTGTCCCCATCCCAGGCCTGTCTGTTGAGCCACAGGACACGGCTGCTGGGGAGGTGGGAAGCAGGCTACGGAAGTGAGCAGGAGACGCCCCCCGGCCCCGCTTCCAGGCCCCAGGGAAGGCCTACCTGCTTGGTGAAGTCCTGGATGATGCTGTGCTCGGACACCTGGGAGCCGATGGCAAAGCGGCGCTTAAGCTGCTTCTCGATGCGGCTCAGCAGCTCCTGGTCCTCCTGGCTGGTAAAGCCCTCCACCCCTGTGGGCAGAGAGAGACAGCTGGGTGGGAACGGGGTGCCACGGATCTCAGTCTGCCCGTGGTGGGGCAAAGGCCTGGAGAGACAAGGCCCCTGGGCCAAGAAAGAGGACTCAGAAGAAAAACTTAAAAAAAAAAAAAGAAGAAGAAACAGCTCAAAGAAGGGGAACATGTGGGGGATAGCACAGGCCTGAGCAGATGGCTCAGCAGAGCCCTGAAGCCAGGGGACGAGGCACACCTGTGCGAAAGGATGCTCTAGGCAGAGGGAAAGGCAGGTGCAAAGGCAGGGAGGCAGAAACCTGACTTCGTTCAAAACACAGTCCAGGGGCTAGGGACGTGGCCAGACCAGGGGTCAGGGGTCAGCTCCTGGGGACCCCTAGGCCATGGCACGGGTTTTGCTTTGATTCTGGGGGAGCAGCCAGTAGAGGGCTCTGAGGAGGGACAGGAGCTGACTTGTGGGAACACATGTCTCTGGCCGGTCAGGCAGCAGGGACAAAGTTCCAGGAGAAGCAGATCTCAGACAGCTGAAGCCCCCTGTGACACAGGAGGGAGGCAAGGCGCCCCAGGGAGCCCGGGCCAGCAGGAGGCTCCTGACTTCCAACTACTGATGCAGGGTGACCAAGGCCTACAGATAGATACCTTGGGGTTTCAGCTAAGGAGAGGGTGGGGCGTAGTCAGTGAAGCCACTGGGACGGACTTCAAGGCTCCAGGTTGAAAGGGGTCTGCAAGGCAAACTCCCACACAGCCTACAAGGCCCAACTCAAATTCCACTGTCCCAAATCACACCTGACCTCCATGCATCAGCATCCCAGAGAGCTCTCCGTTGGCAAATGTCTCACAGGACAGAAATCCCCTCCTGGGCAGAGACAATCTTCGCCAAGGGGAGGGTGGGAGTGATCCGTCTCACCACCCAAGGTACCAGCCACACTGGCCCTCGAACCTGCCAAGACTGCCCCCTCCTTGGAGGCATGGCACTGAGCCTTCCCTCTACCTAGAAGGTTCTCTACATCCCCCACCCCCCCACACACACACAGAGCCTTATGTCCTCATTTCACACCACTGCCTCTATGTCCCCTCCGCAGTGAGGCCATCCTGACCAACCCCCTGATGCAGAGGCATCCAATCCTCCTCCAACACACCTGGCCTGCCAGAATCCCACCCCCCAACTTTTGACTGCCTGAACCTGATCAATCTGCCTTTGCTCTCTCTCCCCCCACTTAGAATGAGAGGCCCACAAGGCAGGGACTTGGAGATCTATTCCCTCTTACACCCCAATACCTGGAACAGCGTCTGGCAAATACCACACCCCACCGGGTGAAGGAATGGATCTATCCCAGGAGAGCCTGGCACACAGTGAGTGCTCCAGAAAAATCTGTTGGAAGGCTGAGCCTGAAGCAGGTAGTGGGACTGACAGCAGTTTGACCGACACTGGCCTACGGGTTGAGAGAGCTGCATTCTAGCTAAGCAAACGGCCATCCTGGCACCACAAAAAGGCCTCTGAGTGTCCCTCTTATTTCTAAGTGCCCAGCTGGCTTCTGGAAGGCAGCTGGAAGTCAAATGAGGGAAAGAGCTTTGGAAGCGCTCAAAATGGTTATGAGGTCACAAGCAGAGTGCTAGCGTTCTCAGACAATGACAAAATTACAATCCTTAACGATTAACGGGGTCCAGACGGTTGTGTTCAAGGGTCTGGAAGAGAAGCTGCTGCTTCTCATCTGGGAGGAAAACGGCTGGGGGCAGAACGGGGAAGGGTGGCTGACCGCCAAGAGGAAGCTCAGAGACGCTGGGCAACCGCACAGGAGCAACTAATGCTCCAGGCCCCCAGGATGCCGCCCGGCCCCCCGGCCCCCCGAGCCGGGACCCTCGGCCCGTGCCCCCGCGTCTGCTCACCTGACAGAGTGCCGGACATGGCAGCGTCCAGCGTGGACACCTGGAAGAGCTGCAGAGCCTCTTCCACGTCGGCCTCCGTGGCGAAGGGCTGCAGCTTCATCTTGCTGAGGGCCTCCGCGATGCGCACGACGGCCTCCAGCTGCCTGCACGGGAGCGACGGGGTGGCCTCAGCTCACTCCCCGCCCCCGACCCGCGCTACTGTCAGGGAGGTGCCTGCCCAACGTAGGAAGGCCATGGGGAGCCTGCCTGCAGTCCCCATGACCCGTCTCCCTTTCCTCCTCAGTAATGGAACCGATTTTGACTCCAGCACGTGGCACCCAGCTGTAACACATTTCCCAGCCTCTCCTACATCTAGGTGCGTCTATGTGACTAAGGTGTGGCCGAGAAGTTCTAAGTTCAAATGTTTTGTGGGGATTTCAGGAAATGTCCTGAAAAGATAGGCCCTTCTTCTCCTTCCTCTCCTGTCACCTGGAATACAGAGGTGAGGGCTGACGTTCCAGCAGCCACCTTGGACTATGAGGACGAGCCCGAGGTGCCAATAACTCTGAGGAGCCATCACACCAGTCCTGGACCACCCACCCTCGAAGACTCCCTAAGAGAGAAAGAAACTTCCAATTTGTTTACTCTTCTTTATTTGGGTTTTCCATTACATACAGCCAAACTCGCTTCTAACTCATCAGCGCTGGCAGCAGGATGCAGCCCAGGTAGGTCCAAGCTCCTAATCGCTATACTCTACTGTATAAACTCACAAGAAGAGGAGTTTAAGAACTATGAAAGCAGGTCCCGAGAAGGAAAGCAATTTCCCTGCTGTCACACAACAGGCCAGAGTCTAGGAGCCAGGTCTCGTAACTCCCATGACTGGACCCTTCCCTCACCCTCAGGCTTCCCTGCAATGAGGGAGGCCAGACAAAAGTCACAAAACAGGGTTCCAGGTTTTCTCAACCTTAAAACAAGCCAAGACGTACATATAATCAGAGAGGCCACTGTTTATATAAACTCCCAAAAGCCTCCCTGGCCAACAGCCCATACTACGGGCCTACACTGTGGTCAGCAAGGGACCCTGGCCCAGGGCTTGCTAGGCACACCCTGCTTTGTAAACTGAGGCCCATCCAGCCCACCTGGGTCCGGCCCTCCTGCGCCTGCTCACCGCACGGTGATGGGGATGTTGGAGCGGCGGTCGATGTCCCGCTCATGCTGACGGGCTCCACTTCGCATGATGATGTACCGGTTCTTCAGTTTCTCTGCAGCCTCTGCCGACAGCCGGGGGCCACACTTCCTGCAGGACGGTGGGGGGCAGCTGTCATGAGGCCAGGAAGGAATCTGGGGGCACCGTGTCCCCCAGCCAGTGACAGTCACTCATTAAGGGGAATGTTGAGATCACCTAATCCCACCCTCATCCTGAGGATGAGAAGACAGAGGCCGGAAGGAGGGAGTCAACTCCCCAAGGCCGCCCAGGACCTGGCATCAAGGTGGGGCGAGACACAGCTGGGGCCAAGCCCCTGAGGACAGAGCCCTAAAGATTCAGAACCAGGACGAGGACCCAGGACTGCTGGGCAGCGCACTGCTCGGGACCCCAAAGGAGGGGGTGAGTTTAGGAGCCACCTGAATACAGCGCCTCACTTCCCACTGGGGGGGTTCTCAAAGATTCCCTGCCCTCAGTGTCCACCTCCAACAAGAGACAGCTGAGGGCGCGTGCAGGCTCTCGGCGCTGGGGCTAACAGCACGGCCTCTGGGGCCAGGTCCCTGGTTCAAATCCTGGCTCTGCTCCCTCCCACTTAGGACCTTGGACGAGTCACTTAACCTTTCTTTCCCTCCACTTCTCTGCCTCAGCCCCACCTGTAGAATGGCTCACTACAGCACCCTCAAAGGCTTCAGGACAGGGCGGAAGCTCAGTTACACGTGAAACACTCAGAGGAATGCCTGGCACAGAACGGTGACCATACTCATGGTTACTGTTATCGGCAATGTGGGAGCGAAACAAGACTAGAAGTCGCACTCACACACACAAAAAAGACTAGAAGTCGCAGCTGCCATTTCCTGAATGTTTCCTCCGTGCAGGGCTCTGCCAAGCTCTCAATCATCTGTGCAGTCCTCAGGAAAACCCCAGGCCACACCAGTCCAGGGAAAGCGAGGCTCAGGGGTCACCCGACTTGGCCCAGGTCACACAGTGGGGGCGGACGCTACCCAGAGCCCGCAGCCACACTGTCCGCACTGCAGTGCCTCCCTGCATGGGAGAGTCCCGGGGGTCGGCGAGACCTTCTAGTTCCCACACCCTTGTTTTAGCAAATGGGGAAACGGAGCCCAAGAGCCACAGAGCAACCTGTGCAAGGTCACAAAGGAGCCGAGCTGAAACTGTAAGCAGGGCCTCATCTCAGGCACCCTGTGTGAGAGGCAGGCCCAGGCTTCAGGGTTCTGTCCCCCAGGAGAGCTGGGCCACCCCACTCCCGTGGGGCCCGCGTCCAGGACTCACGCTCGGCAGTAGGCAATGAACTTCTTCAGCTTGGCCAGGTCGACCTCACCCTCCACGGCCTGGGTCTGGGTCAGTGCACTCACGTGCAGAGTGATGACGTGTTTGGCCAGCATCTGGGGGCGCAGAGGGGACACTGGGTCAGCCCGCAGGCCCTCCTGAGCATAGGTCCCAACACAGAAGTTGCACAGGCAGGGAGGGAGGGTGAGAACTCATGGAAAGGAGGAGGCCCCTTCCCTTGTGAGCTATGAGCTGATTAGACAAAATCCCACAGCTGCCAGGGCCTTATCTGCCGCCATAAGGAGATCAGCTGCCTGAGAATAGGTCTCCAGCAAGGGAGGCAGAGCGGAGGGGCAGAAACAGAGAGCTCTGGGGCCATCAAGCCCCGGATCCAGGTGGGCCTCACACCTCTAGGCTTGCCCATTACATAAGCCATTCTGTTCCTTCCAGAGACATTCTGACCGGAGCTGGGGTTCCACCACTTGCAAAGGTCAACTCCCCTGTTTCGTATATAAGGCGCTGAGGCCCAGGGAGAGAATGATTTACCCAACTGCACAGCACAGCCCCGGCAGGAGGCAGGACTCTGGACCCCTAGTCCAGCGTTCCCTGCTGGCCGCAGCCGCCCCCCCCAACCCGCCCTGGGCTGCCTGCTTACAGGCAAGTCTGACGGGCAGGACTTTGGGCCAAGCCCCTTGTTTACCCTCCCCCAGAACTGTGGACCTGGCTCCCGCAGCCCCAGCCAGCTCCAGACGCACCACATCCCTCTCTTCATTGTGCTCGTCCTTGACGATGAAGATCATGTCAAAGCGGGACAAGATGGTGGGCATAAAGTCGATGTTGTCCTCCCCCTTCGTCTCATCCCAGCGACCGAACACCGAGTTGGCGGCAGCCAGGACGGAGCAGCGGGAGTTGAGGGTGGTGGTGATCCCAGCCTGAGAGGCAGAGAGAGGGGAGCAGACAAGAGAGATGAAACCCTGGGCACGCGTGTCTCCCACGTACACACGAGTCTCTCCCATGCACACGCTCGCACAGGCCGGCTGCTGCAGCCAGCAGAGACCGGGGCAAACCGGGCCCAGCCCAGGGCCCGATCGCGGCCCCGGGCCAGCACCCTCCACGTGGCCGGGCCAGGCCGGACGGCAGCCGCTCACCTTGGCTATAGAGATGGTCTGCTGCTCCATGGCCTCATGGATCGCCACTCGGTCGTCTTCCCGCATCTGTGTGGGGCAGAAACGTCTGTGAGGCCTGGGCAAGGGGGCGGGAGAGCTGGGCAGCCGGAGACCTACAGTAGCGACCGGTCCCAAGTCCCTACTCTATGCCTGGCCCATGGCAGGAATCAGGTGGCCTCTCACCCTGGTGACAATGAGCCAGGTGGGCTTGGCTCTCCTCTCCCCTCTCTCCAGATAGGGAAACTGAGGCTCAAAGAGGTTCAACTACTTCCCTCTAATGACAGGCCCAGGACCGAACACCAGTCTCCAAGTCAGAGGTAGTTTCTGCTGTCCCAGCCCAGGAGGCCACACCTCCGGCCCCATGACCACAAGGTGCCACCCACCTTTCGGCCACCACCTCACCGTCAGACCCACCTTGTCAAACTCGTCAATACAGACGACCCCCCCATCAGCCAGGACCATGGCTCCGCCTTCCATGATGAAGTTCCGGGACGAGGGGTCCCTCATCACTGAGGCTGTCAGGCCAGCCGCACTGCTGCCTTTCCCAGAGGTGTACACCTGGGGGATGGGGGAGGGGAGGGTGGCATCAGGACATCACCCAGCTCCAGTGAGTCAAGGGCCCAGACTGATGTGGCTTGCCCAAGGTCACGCATCAAAGCTGGCTGCCGAGCCCAGAATAGAACCCGTGCTCCTCCCTTCGAGTGGGAAGGCCGCCCTGGGCACCGGTCTGGCCTGGAGGTTCTCCCCCAGGGGGCGTCCACGTCCACGGTCAGCTGAGCCCTACCACAGCCCTGTGAAGCAGCGCTCAGGGGCCCGCTCTCAGATGAGCAAACTGCGGCCCAGAGGAGAGGAATGCCACACTTCCAGGAGGCCTGAGGGCCGGGATGGGGACTCCTGACTCCTAAGGAGAAGCGTCCCCCTCCCCAGTCCCTTGTCGTCTTTGTACAGACCCACGCACCACAAGCCGCCACCCTGGCAAGTGGGTGAGGAAGTTGGAGGTGAGGAAGTTGTGGTGGTGGGCTTAGAGTGTAAAACACACACGCCTTCAACAGCGCTTCAAGAAAGACGATGTAAAGCATGCCGTGGTGTTCTATTAACCTATAGGCTAAAACAGTAACACTTCAGATAAAATATTATAATTAATTTCATCTGCTCCTTTTAGTTTTTAACCAGGGCAGCCAGAAAACAGGACACCACCCCCATGGCCCATATAGCAGCATCCGTGGGTCTCTATCACGCAGCTATGGCATGAACACCTGGCACTTCTGATCCCCCAGACCACACCTCCCCCCACACAGCCCTGTCCTGCTGGGTCATCTTCGCCCCACTCTGAGCCCCCAGGCCCACCGATCACTGCACAGAGGACCCCACCAACCACACACTCGGGGTCAAATCCCTGTGCTTGCACTTACTCGCTGTGGGACCCTGGGCAAGACTGAGCTATTCTGTACCCCAGTTTCCTCCTTTATTTAAAGGGGTCACAGCACCCACCGCACAGTGAGCGGAACGTTAGGCCAGTAAACCAAAGCAATGCGCTGCAAGCAGTGCCTGGTCCTTGATCTTCAGGTGCTGACCGATGTCCTGATTTAGCAGGTGGATAAATGGAGTCTCAGGGAGATGAGGCAACCCGCTCAAGGCCGGCAGCCACCTAGCTACTGGCCAGGCTGAGACCCAAAGCCCACGCTGCCTCTCGGGCCGCGCTCCACCCACCACCCCAAACCACCCCACACCTGTTCGTCCCCTTCCTCCTCTCTGTGCCGTCCTGACCCGCAGCCAAGAAGAACGAGGAAGAGACTCTGGTGAGCCGGCCCACCACGGAAAGCCCAGGGACCAGGTAGCCTGGGCTGCAGCCTGCCCTCCTAAGGGGGCAGCCGAGCGGAGCGGCATGTCCCCAGGCACTCACCCCTATGGGGGAACACTTCTCCACAAACTTTAGCAGCTGGGACTTGGCCGTGCCCGGGTCCCCCAGCATCAGCAGGTTGATGTCTCCTCGGCGGGTGAGTCCATCGGGGAGCCTGGGGGAGGACAGGCAGGTGGGCCAGGCTGGGACTCAGGCCGGTCACGGGGAGGGCTGGCAGTGGGCCCCACAACCCTCATCACAAGCCTCGGTGCCGCAGGCAGGCGGGGGCTCTGGGCTGAGACCCTCGTTCAGAGCCGTGTCCCCAGCCGCACCCGTGGTAACGATGGAGGAGAGAACTTGCCTCCAGGCCAGGGACAGCCAAGAACATGGCACTCAGGGCCGGGGCACACACGCTAAGGGTCTGATCAGATAGCCCTTGTGGCTAGAAAGGAGAGGGGGGGCCCCCAGCAGCCCGTGCACAGCACAGTGCGACCGGCACCAGACGGGCAGGATCCTGGCCCCACTGATGTGCCTCTCAGCAAGTCCCTTTCGCTCTCCATGCCTCAACTTCCTCACCTCCAAAGTGGACTTGGTCAGAGCTTCCTCTGAGGGTGACTGTGAGGGCTGGCTGGGTGTCAGACACACAAAAGCGCTTGCAAGAAGGCCGGGTGCACAGTGAGGCCCAGTATGTGGTAGCTACTAGTAACATTATCTTCCCTAGCTCTACTACTTTCTCGTTTCAACACAACATGGGCTGTCCTGCGAGGACCAGGTTCTCACCTGCCCTGTTCCCATGGAAACTTGGGTCCAGAGAGGGAGTGTCTCTCGCCCAAGGTCACACAGGAAAAAGTGGCAGAGATTTAATCTCTGGTCTCCAGTCTCCAAGCCCAGAGCTCTCCCCACTGCAGCTGCTGGCCCCCCTCCCCCATCCACCCCTAGTTCGGGTGAGGGGATCCCTCCGGGTAGGAGAGCATGGATTAGCCACTAGCCGGCTGACAGCAAGCCTCAGAGTAGGGGAAAGGACCTGGAAGTAGCAGGCAAGGCTGAGGGTCCCAGGAAAATGAGAAGAACATTCAAGTCCTGACCATTGGCGGCCATCCTGCTATGGGCCAAGTCACCCCCCACCCCAGATCTGGTGGGACTGGAACCCCACCTCTTTCGGGAACCCCCAAACAGCAGGCAGGCGATGGCCTTCTTCATGTCTGTGCCCCCGAAGATGGATGGAGCGATGCTTTTGGAGATGACCTCGTAGACATCGGGGAGGGCGGCCAGGCGTCGGAACTCCTCCTCTTCCTGAGGGGTCACGGCCCCGGCAAAGCTGCGGCCTGGGTGGGCCAGGGAGGGAGGGCACGTGAGTGCTGTGTGAGGCAGACCCTGCCCAGCCAGGTCAGGGCTCCCTGCAAGGCAGGGCCTCAGAGCCCAGACGGCATAAGCCTGAGGAGACAGAGCCCAGGTCTCCCTGCCAGGAGTGGGCCTGTGCTCACCATCCAGGGAGTGAGGGGAAGGGGGGTGTGAGGAGCTGGAGGGCCAGATCGTAGAGGCCCTCAGGGACCACTGGGAAGGGTGGGGACAGGGAGACCAGGAGGCCTGACCATAATCCCGGAGAGAGACGGCAGGGGCTCAGCCCAGGGTACAGCACAGCCGGGCCCCAAAGCCAACTCACCAGAGCCATCTGTGTCCACCTGGATGCCCAGGACACGGATGTAGGAGCTCCGGATGCCCACACCCACCCTGTCACGGCCCCTGCTGGAGGTCAGGCCAAACTTCTTGATGGAGTAGATGCCCATGACGGTGACCCTATTCCCAGGGACAACCCTGTCACACAGATACCTGAAGAGACAGGGAGGAGGGAGAAACAAAGTGAGAGCCTGGGGGGGGGGGACAGCGAATCCCTGACCCTCTCACCCACACTGTCACACTCACCGTCCACCTTAGCATTTGTACTCCAGATCTCTCCATCCCTCAGGGCCCCCCTCCAAGCATGCATGGCTCAGCTGCCTACAGGATGGTGCTCAGCACCCTTGCTCATGGTGGTGGCCTGACCCTTCCCTGCCCTCAAGGGCTCTTTTGTTTTGCCGGTTGGGGCCCCAGGAGAGGCTTGGTGCTAGCCACCCCGGCCTTCAGAAGCCACATCCCCATATATGCTGCCAGACTCGCCACGGGGCTCCCCTTGGCCAACTCGGGGGAAGCCTTCCTCCTCGGGCCCCCTGGCCTCTCTGCAAGGGCCCCACCCCCCACCACTTCTGCCTCTTCGGGGCTCCACGAGCTCGGGTACATCCTGCCTCTGGACGTCCACGTCCTCTTTTCAAAACTAAGACACTGCAACAAGGAGTCTCCAAGTCGCTCCAGTGAGAACCAGTGTGGCACAGAAGGGACACTGGTGCACGCATCTGCACTCTGCCATTTAGAAGCTGCGTGACCTCAAAGAAGTCACCGTACCTCTCTGAGCTTGAGGGAAGGGGAGGGGGCAGCGACAGAGTAACCGGACCTGCTCATATAGTGGGATCAAGTGAGGAAACAGACCACACGTGCTTTACATGCCAGAGTCACATCCCACAAAGGAGCGTCACTGTCACAGTTTCAGCCCTGAGAGGATCCTAGGGCGCCCCTTCCCATGCACCACTTTGTTTTTCTTATTTTGGAGACGGGAAGAGAGTATCTTCAGCAGGCTCCATGCCCAGTGCGGAGCCCGACACGGGGCTCGATCTCACGAAATCAGGAGTCGGTCACTTAAAGGACTGAGCCTCCTCCCAGGAGCCCCTTCCCATATACCACCTCTTACGTCTAGACTAGACTACCTGGAGAATAACCTAACAAACATCAAGTACTTAATCGTATTAAAGACCGGTACGAAACACGTGCATTTTCCAATTAACATCTCCCAGCAGCCTAACTAGAGGTTAAGGATGGTCTTCACGCCCGTTTTACTGCTGAGGAAACCGAGCCTTCGCCAGCTCATGTAACTTGCTCCTGTCCGGCTCCTCCACGTTTCCACTGTCACTGACAAAGCTAACAAAAGCTCTGGACCCACTCCTCAGGAAAACACGCAGCACAGAACACCTGCAAGCACATCCAGCTGCGGCACCCCGGTCACATCTCCAAGCCTTCCTCCCAGGTGGCCACGAGAGGACCAGACCCCAGCCGAGCACCTCTCCTCCTTCCCAACCGGTCAGCAAAATCCAAGGAACGATGTTATCAGAAAGCCCCGGGCACAGGCGGGGCAGGGGCATCAGACAAGCAGAGGCTCTCCGAGCTGCAGCTGTAGGGACTCTCCGGGTAGGGCCCGGGCTCCAAGCTCACGAAGCCATCAACCTCTCAAGAGTTCCAGGGGGCTCTGGAACTGCACAGCGGGGACTACGTGCCTTGCTGATTTCGGGAAGACGGAGCGAGCGGAAACGTACGGGAAGCACCGGTGTTCCAGTGAACCAAGTGTTGCTGACCGAGCCTTCCTCTCCTCCCACCGTGCTCACCGGGCCTCGGCCAGGGCCACCCGCCCCCGCGGATGCCCAGCCCCAGCCCCGGCCCCTGCCTGCTTCACCTGTCACAGTAGAGCTGCATGTGTCTGGGCATCTCGCCGTGAGGCACTGCGTCAGGCAGCTCCTGCAGCTTGAGAGTCTGGAAGTCCACACACTTGCACTTGTCAGGCATGATAAAATATGGGTCCAGTGGGCATTTGGGACGCCCGGCTTGATCCCTATACGGGGGTGGGGAGGAGAAAGGGTCACCAGAGCTCCCCTGAGAACCCAAAGCCCAGGGAGTCCATCCCAGGAGTCGGCGACAAGATCCGGCCAGCAGCAAGTTGAGGGTCTCTGGGATAAGCTGAACAAGGGTCTTAAAAGGAGGGCAGCTCTGTGGGGGACCATGAACCAGATCAGGAGTGGGGAGGTCTGCTCCAGGCCTGGCTCCTCCATTAATTTATGGGACACAGACAGGTCACACTCTGAACCCCCATGAGGTCTCAGTGTCCCCACAGGGAGAGGGGCCAAATCACCAATGACCTCACGAAACCCCCACTCAAATCCCAGGATCTCGTGGTGAGGGTCTGGGCACCTACAGACCATTCTCAGGGTCTAGGCCTCTTTTTACCTCCATGTAATGAAGTCAAGTTCAACTACCATAGCAGTGTTACTGCAGAGCACTCACTCTGTGCCAGACCTTGTTCTACAGGCCAGGGACCCAGGAGGAACAGAAGTCCCTGCTCTTACAGAGCTCACATTCTAGTCAGGGGCCGCCGGGGAGACTGAAAAAACCAGCCAACAAATGGCTGAGTGACAGAATGACAGCAGTGCCCCATGCTGTCGGGTGGGTGGGGAAGAGTGACAGGGTATGCGTGCACCGAGTGTAAGATGGAGGAACCTCTGGGAGGTGACATAAGAGAAAGCTGACGGAAGTGAGACCGAGGACTGCAGAGGGCAGAGGAAAGAGCACGTTCAAAGGCTCTGTGCCAGAAGTGTGCTCAGTGATCGCAGGAAGAGGAGGGAGGCAGTGAGAGAGGGAGGAGGACCACGGAGGGCCGTGCATGCCAGGACAGCGCCTGACTTTGGATGACATGGAAATGACTGGGTCACCTGCAGGACAAAGAGTCCTCTCCACCAGCTGCGGGGTGGAGAAGAGACTGGGGGACGACCACTCCAAGTGAGGGAGAACAACAGCATGGAGCAAGGCAGACGTGCCCAGGTGGTGAGAAAGGGCCTGATTCTCTACGTGCAATCTTAGGAGCAGAGCCAAAAGGACTTCTCAGTTGTCTAGATGCAAGTAGGAAGAAACACTCTGAGACCAAGGATTTGGGCCTGAGCACCTGAACAGATGGTGTTTCCATCTGGGGTGCAGGGGAGGGTCTGTGGAAGGGGAGATCTGGGGGTGGGATGGAGGTCAGGTCTGTGTGGGGTGCGTTCAAATCTGCAATGTCCACTGGACACCTACATGGGGATACCTGGCTGCCGGCCAGCAGCCGGATCCGACCCTGGAGCTCAGGGGAGACACATGTGTGAGTGTCCTCTGCATGTGGACCATCTTTAAAGCCCGAGATCACCCAGGGAGCGAGTGCAGAAAGAAAGCAGCGTAGCTAAGCCCCGGGGCACTGCAACATTTAGGTTAGGAAGCTGAGGGGGACCACAGAGGCCAAGGAGCAGCCTGAGAGAGGGGGCGGGGCCTTCAGATCAAGGGTGGAGCTCATTTCCTGTAAGGGGCCAGAGAGCAAACATCCGGTCTTAGGAGCCAAGAGGCCATATACTCCCCGCCTCTGCAGAGCAAACGTGGTCCACGGCAATGTGTAAATGCACAAGCTTGCCGTGTTCCTGGGCCGGCCACCCCAGCAAGCCTCCAGACAGACTCATTCTGCTGGACTGCTTTTCCCTCCCAACCCTGGGTTCCCCACAAAGGTTGTCTGGGAGTCCTGGTGGGGACAGAACTCGCCAATGGAGGACACCAGCCCTGAGCCCCAGCGCACGGGCCTGTGCCACTCCCACGGGACACATGCCCTGCTGCAGGCCGGTCCTCCCCCTTCCCATCTCCCCCCAGACGTCACCCCCCCACCCCAGCCGCTGGGCCCGGCAAGGCCCACTCACGTGTTGCACTTCCTAGGCAGGGCGTAGCCCTCCAGGCCCGGGTGCATGGCGATGTTGCTGAGCGTGTTGCGACAGCTCCGGCACTGGATGGAGATGCGGGTGGCCTTGGCGCGGACCCCGGACGCCGAGATGATGATGCCAGGGATCTTCACCAGGTGCGACATCATGTCCGACTGCAAGAGAGCCATCAAGAGCATGGTTGGTTAAAGGGAGACAGGGACAACGGAGATTATGATAAAAATCTCTTTTTCTGGGGTGCCCGGCTGGCTCAGTCTGAAGAGCATGTGACTCTTGATCTCAGGGTCTTGAGTTCAAGCCCCACAGTGGGCGTGGAGCCTACTTAATTTAAAAACAAAAACAAAAAAAAACCCACACTTCTAGAAAATCTTTTTCTAGCGCATGCTGAAGTATTTAGGGACACAGTGGCACTTCTGTAATTTACTTAAAATTTAGCAAGGTCGCCTGGGAGGCTCAGTCGGTTAAGTGTCTGACTTTGGCTCCGGTCATTATCTCTGGGTCCTGGGATCGAGCCCCACATCAGGCTCTGCGCTCAACGGGGAGAGTCTCCTTCTCCCTCTCCCTCTGCCCCTTCCCTCATTCGTGGGCACGCATACTCTCTCTCTTATAAATACATAAAATCTTTTAAAAAAATGAAAAAAAAGTACTTTACCAAAAAAAAAGAAAAAGAAATAGCAAATAAAGCAAAACGTTAACCATTAAACCCAGGTGAAGGTATATGAGATGCATTACACTATTCTATTTCTATGTGTAATTTTCCATAAGACAAAACAAAACACAAGAAAAGTTCCTTTCATCACTTTCTTCCCATTCCCAGGGGCTTCTCTGGGACAGGCAGGCTACGGGTTCATGCAGCCTGGGACGTGGTGGGTGGAGAAGGAAGGAGGCTGGCCCCCTCTGCAGTACGTAAGGGCAGACGTGCCTGCCATGACCCAGGGACATAGAACTGTTGGAGCTGCCACAGAGCATGATTTTTTAGAACACAAGCTACAAAGCTGCAGGTATTCTGGCACTCCAGAATCCCGAGCTGGAAAGGACGGGGTTGCCTCAGCCCCTCCAAGCCATCCCGACAAGTGATCCTTCTAGAGGGGGATCCTCCCAGATCACAGGAAACCCATCAGCTGAAACAGGCCATTCACTGTGTCCTCCAACGAGTCTGAGAGTAGGAAGGTGTCCCTGGGGGGAGCTGAGGCTTGGCTCCCTAACCAAACAGCTGGCCCCCCAAAGCAGGTCCAATGCCACTTCCACAGAGAGGCAAACGCGTGACACTGAACTTGATTCCAAACATCGTCACGGAGCCCCTCCCTCATGCTGGAAAGACAGATAAAACTCACAAGCTCCAGAGCCCACCGCCCTGCTTCTGGAACCACCTGCCATCGTGCAAAACAAAGGCAGCTTGACAGGGGCCCCAAAAGAGCTGCAGGATGTGGGGACACAAGCAAAGACCACAGCATGCCCTCTGGGTGCAACACATGACGAGGAGGTGCCATTAGCTCAGTGGGTGACACTCGGGCCCCACTGTGGAGCGTGCCGAGCACAGGCATGCGCATCACTTGCCTAGATTCTAACAAGAGCCCCGCGACAACCACCAACGTCCTGACCAGCATCACTTCCTGCTCACTGCTCTCCTGCTACTTTATCAATTCTCCACATGGCAGCCAGAGGGACTGTTTGCAAATGGAGTCGGCCCATTCTACTTAAACATCTGCTGCTTTCCTACTGTGCTTCCTATAGAATCCAAGCTCCTTCCCATGGCTGGAGAGGCCCTGGCCCTCAGGCCTCTTCCCCCCTTCCCCCAACCCTCACGCTCACTGGGGTCCGGTCACACTGGCTGCTTCTTATTCCATGAAGCATGCCACTGTCCGTACCTCAGTGCCTTTGCACCTGCTTCTCCCGGAGCCTGGAATGCTCTTCCCTTGGGCTGTCATGCAGCTGACGACGCATTACTCAGACTCACTCCAACATCACTTCATCGGAGGCCTCTTCTGACCACCATCTACCTCCCTCGGCCATTGTCACGTTTAGCTCGTTCTTCTCTTTTCTTCATGACTGTACATGGCTCCTGAAGCCATCACAATGTCCCTTACCTGGTTCTCCCCTCATAAGCTCTGTGAGAAGCCAAGTCCCGTCTGTTTATAGTCAGGGTCTAGCCCAGCACCTGGGGCGTAGCAGCCTTTAGTATTTGTCGATTAAAACAAATCAACACCTGGGGCACCCCTGGGTGGCTCAGTCGATTGGACGACTGACTCTTGCTTTCAGCTCAGGATCAGGTCATGATCAGGCCCCACTCCGAGCTCTGTGCTGAGTGGGGAATCTAGTGTGCTTGTCTCTCTCCCTTGCTCCTCCCCCCCACGCTCACGCTCGCTTGCACTGGCTCTCAAATAAATAAATAAAACCTTTAAGAAAACAAACACCTGGATGACAGCTGGCTCTGCCAACCCCTCCTGCTTCCCAATCACTCTTTAGCCACGCTGGCTGTTCTTCAACACAGCCTTGAACATAACCAAGCCCTCCTCGCCCCTCAGGCTTTGCAAGGGCTACCCTCCGCCTCCCTGGGGTGCTCTCCCAGTTGTCTGCCCGCTCAGGTGGTTCTCCACCAAGGAAGCCTTCTCTGTCTTGCCCAGAGGGCCACCCCCCGACCCCAATTTCTTCCACTGCACTTACGATCATCTACAACCATCACAGGTGACATTCACTGGTTTACTCAGGTTCCCCCCACACACACACCTCCTGGGAGGATATAAAGTTCACAAGAACAGGAACTTGTTGTTTAGTTCAACATCGTTTCTCCATGACCTGACTCAACGCCTTGCCAACAGGAGGAACTCACTTGTCCAGTGAGTTAATTTTACCGGGGAAGAAACGGGCTCAGACAGGCTGAGTGAGCTGCTCAGGGTCACACAGCTGGCACTCAGGTCTGGCCGGGGCCTGAAGCTCCTACACACCATGCAGCAGCCACCATCACCCTCCGACCAGCCTCTAAGTGGACCCACCTTGAGGCTACGAATGCTGGACGGGCTGGCATCCGACTTGAGCATGACCTGAATGTCCTGGAGCACCTCCTCGCCCGTGGGCCGGGGCCGGGTCACCTCATCAGCCACCTCCTTGGCAGCTTCCTCTAGCTGGAGAAGAGGAAGGCGACAACTGCTGGTGACCAGAACAGGACCAGGAACCTGGGGGATTCAAGGATGGGGTCCCACTCACCAGCTGCAAGTGCTCGGCCGGTTGCTTGTACAAGTAGTCGGCCAGGTCCTCGTCGAAGCTGGCCAGGTCCTCCATCTCCACTTCGACCCAGTACTCCCCCAGATTGTAATGGCGCTTGAGCTCATCCCTGGTGTGGGCAGGTAGCAGGGTGGGGGCAGGGCAGGGTGCAGAGAAGAGGAGATCAACACTGGCTGAAGTGCACCTGCACCCCAAATTTGCCCACACCATTACCACCACTACTCCCACTCCTCTTCCCAAACACACATCGAGTTCCAGGCGACTCTGTGACATAACCCTGCGGAGGCTCCCAGCTGCCCATAGAGGCACCCTCCAAAAACAGCTCCATGGAAACAGTCCACAAGATGGTTGAAGGCGATTTCAACACGTAAAGACAGGGCTGTGTGCACAGGTCAGTTTGGGAGACTCCGTTCTTTCCCTGCAGGACCCCCTGGTGCCTTTTAGTTTCTCTCAGAGACTAACAAAGCACAAGGCTCAAACTTGGAGACCACAGATAACAGTGTGTTTGTCTTATCGACCACCAGATAGACTTTTTACAGAGCATCCCATGGGACTATTGTCCCAAAACACACTTAGGGACCACTGACCTATGCTACGCAGAGGCCTCTCCTCAGACTCATCTCAGACCTTATCCCCTCCGACCTTATGTGCCAGGGCCACACGAAATGGCCATCCTGGCCCAGAAAGCACCTTGCTATTAACAGGCCACCCATACCTCTCCACCCAGACATGCAACTGCTCCTATCGGAAATGCCCTCCACACCTGAAACTCTTCTCTCAGCCGAGGGTCAACTTGGGCTCCTCTGGAAGCCCTCCCTCATGTTCCTCCTTTGAGGCAACTGTCACCTTGTAATTTATCTCTTGACCTCTATGCCTTGCCCCCACTGACTCAGGAGCTTCACTGACTTCTGAGCTTCTAAAGAGTGAGGAGTACGGAGTCTCTTCATCTCCGTATCTCAGTGCCTAGACACAATGCCTGGCACACACATGGCCAATGTCAGCTGGTACATGAATAAACGGGAGGCAGAACTGCTGACGTCCATTTACTGATGACACAGAGAGTCTGTTACTTGGAAGTCACTCAGCTAATAATTGGCCGCGCCCAAGCCTGGACCCACAAATTCACCTTTCTCTGCATTTTAAGGTGCTAGAGATAGAGGCTGGGCCTACGAGGATCTGGCATGATGCCACAGGTTAGACAATGACTAAGAGCGGGTTCAGTGGTTAGCCCAGCACCTGAACAGTGCCTGGCACACGGCAGGTGCTGATCAACAGAAGTTGCAAGACTGGAACGAACGCGTAAGTGAAATAAATCCTGACAACCATCTTCACCTTTTGCACACGCAGAGAACTTGAGTTTAGGAGGCATCACAGAGACAGGACACAGGACAACAACAAGGAGGAAGTGAAGAGCGAGTCCTGGATAAAGAACCAAAGGGCCCAAGAACTTCTAGATGGTTATTAGGGGCCCACTCAACAGGTGGCCACTCAAAAGTTAACTTCAGGTATAAAATGTACAAAGCCAAATATCACAACTGGTGCGGCCAGGATGAAGCTTCGGCTGGGACCCAAATCCTCAGACCTAGGACAGGCTCCTTCACCTCTCTGCGCCCGTGTCCCCATCCGTGCTCTAGGACACTAGAAGGCTCTGAGTGCAGACGCGTGTTCGCACTGGGTGTGCTTGCTCCTCACCCGGGGGAGTGCATGCCCACCTTCCCTCCGTGCCCGCCCCAGCCCGCACCTGTATTTGAAGGTGAAGCCGGTGCGGTCGGTGCCCACTCGGTACTGGCGCAGGAACTCCTTGAAGCGCCTCTGCAGCTGCGATTTGCGGGCCTGCCCCTCGTCGGCCGCGGTGTCCCCCCCGAAGCTGTCGCTGTAGAAGATGCCGGGGTCGTCGAAGCCCGACATGACTGCGCCTGGCGCGGGGACAAACAGCTGGAGCAGGCCGGGGGCTCGCTCCCAACGCGGGGCGGGGGGACCCCGGCCCTCCCAGAAGAGAGACCCTGCCCACCCTGCTGCGCCCTCAAGTGCGGACGCCTGAACACTCCCCGGCCCTCACCCCTCCAGACCCGCCGGTCTCACCTCCCCGTTCCCGCAAGTCCAGGCACACAAGGACGTCCACACTCCGCCGCCGAGTTTCGCGGGAAAAACGAGACGCCGCGTTCGGACGCCGCAGCCGCTGCGCCCCGATTGGCTCGCCGGGGTCCCGCAGCCAGCGATTGGACCGCTCTGCGCCCGCGAGCACCGCCTCCCGGGCAGACCACCGGAGCGGATTGGCTGCGGGGCGCATGACGTCATGCCCCTGGCCTCCTTCCAGGCTCCATTTTGCAGGCCGGACAATTTGGCGCGAAACTTCCGACCGGGGAGGAAGCGGCGGCGCGGCGGGCGCAAAGATGGCGGCGGGGAAGCCTCCCGGGCCCAGGCGGCGAGTGCGTGCGAGGGCTTTCCGTGTACACCCCTCGAGCCTTTTTACAAGTCTTCTGGGAAAATGGCCGCCTGCAGAGCCAGGGCCTGGAAGACCTGGGGGCTCCAGAAGTCGTCGTCGCTCCCGGCGGGAGCCCGCTGCCCCCTGCGCCCAGCCCTCCCTGTCACACACCCTCCTGACGTTGGAGATGAGTCAGAAATAAGTCATCTCTGGGCCCGAAATCGTCCCATCCTTGCGACTCAAGGATGTTTTCTTAGACCCAAAGGGTGATACCTTTTTTCGTTGTAGATTTCTCATTACTTGGCAATGCTTAAAATTTGCGAAAATTCACGACCAGATACCCAACCTAGCTTGAAAAACAGAAAGATTTGGCAAAACTCAGCGTTCTCCAGCAGCATCATCTCTCTTCCCTTCTTTTCCATTCCCACTCTCGAAGAGGAACAACTGGAAATTTTTTATCCCCTTTGCCACAGTCATGGAAACATTCACGCGGAGTATGTAGAATACGTGTATTTTTACAGTGCATAAAACACAAATGAATCTGACACTTGCTTTTCTTATTAATACTTCATGGAGGTTCCTCTGAGGACAGAACAGACTTAACTCATTCTATTTTTTGATTTTTTTTAGTATTCTCTACACCCAACGTGGGACTCGAACTCAGGATCCCGAAATTAAGAGTTGCATGCTTTGGGGACTGAGCCAGCCAGGCGCCCAATTCATCGTATTTAACAGCTGATTCTCCATAGTGTGAATAGAATACAGACTATTGGGCCATTTTCCTATTAGTAGAATCAAGGTGGTTTGTTTCTCTGTCTCTCCCCTCCCTCCTTTCCTTTTTTTATCACTACAAGTAATGAACATTGACATCCCTTTCACAGAAAGCTGGGAAGTAGGCTTAGGGTGGGAAGAGCTACAGCTATTTGAGTGCCTGCTCTTGGCAAACAGAATCTCATAAACTGTGGCTCCTGGGCCTGGTTGCACTTTGGAACCTCTCAGGGAACTTTTCACAAACAGGATCCCAGAGTCCTGCCCCAGGTCTCCAGACTCAGAACCTCTCAGGGTGGGGCCCAAGATCCCCCAGTGATTCTGACGCCACCAGCCATGCACTGGCATTTAGATACCCCTGGGCCCTCCACCGGCTGTGGGAGGTAGGTGTATTATTTTCATTTTGCCAGTGAACAAAAGGAGACGAGTGACTTACTTGTCCAAGGTTCCAGACTTGGTGACAAAGCCAGGACTGGGCACAGAGCTCTCCTGACTCCCAATCCTCAGGTACTAGTGGTGTTAAGGAAACACTTTCTCTTCTGCTTTCCCACCTTCAGGGTGGGGTTTTCACTTGCCCAGATTGGGAAGCTGCACTATTAATATGTCAGTGGCTTTCATGACTTAGGACAGGGTTTTAGAGCTGCCCAGATCTGGTTTACATCCTCCCTGCCCCCCAGAGTGGTAGCACCCCTCACGGGTTTGCTGTGAGCATTAAATGAGGGGACAGAGGGGAAGTGACTCACACTCACAGCACAAAAATCACTTAGCAAAAATCACAAACCCCCGATCACCCTCATTTCGTAATAGGAACTCATGTGGTCCAGTGTTGGCATTTTACCTGCATCTCATTTGCTTCTCAAGACAGGCAGGTGAGATAGGTCTCACTGTACTCATGTTACAGGTGACAGAACTGAGCCCCAGAGAGGTTAACAACTAACCTCAAAGGCAGAGCTACAAAGCAGAGTGGCAGGGATTGGAACCCAGGGATCTCACTGGAGTCCCAAAGACTGTATCCACTAAGTAAATTTTATCCCAGAATCGGCTCATTTGAGCCTAACAGGGCAATGCCATCCTCAGTAAAGCTGAATCTTGCATCAAACAAGGTTCAACACAAAGATTCACACACCAGCTGCCCAAAGCTCACCCCCCACATCCTCAGAACGGAGACCAGCATCCGAAACCGGTCCCTTCCACCCCCACTTCACCCGTTCTCCCCACCAGGCATTCAAGAGACAAACGGGGAAACGTTCAGCTCCCCAAGGGTAACAGAGCCCAAGAAAAACACTTCCAGTTACTATCAGGCACTGAAGTTTATTATTTCACACAAAAGTTAGAGGCCAAGGCCACAGTGTTGTTAAACACCTCCCTCCCCACCCCACCCCCAAAACTCACCCCAACTCTGCTATAAAAACAGAACATAACAAAATACCACAGTTCAGGTGGAGCCAGGAACAAAGAGTGGCTCCGACAGAAACAAGACAAACACAAGACACAACATTGTTGCACATTTATATGAAACTCGCCACGGCCCACAGAGAAGGCGGTCATGGCATGTCAAGGAGACCATGGACCCAGGGCATCTGGAGGTTCAAGACAGCTGCCACTTCCGGCCATGTCTTCTGGGCTCTGCTGCAGGAACTGGGAGTGCTGAGGGGCCAGGCAGGATGCTCATCCCACTTTGGAAGTTCGTGTCCGTGAGCTGGATGTGCTTTTGGTTGGGGAAGATGATGTCACAGACTCCCTTTCCAAAGACAGGGATGCAGGGACAGGGTGGGGGGCACAGAGAGCCCCCCATGCCTAAGGTAAGGAAGCCAGCCAAGAGATATTCCCTCTCCAGAAAGCGGGCCGTCCACTGGACACAGCTCACAGCGTAAGGAGCCAGCGCCCTTGCATTCACATGACATAAAGCCCCACAGCAACTGTTGCCACCAGAAAGCTGAGCGTAAGGACCCATCGGAGGAGCGGTGCCTGGGAGAGAAGGCTGAGCTGGGGCTTCCCTCTCGGAGTCTCCGTGGGAGTCGAGTCTGAAAGAGAGAGGGGTGCAATGTCACCAATAGGTGGACAGAGGTGGGGCGTATGGGAGGTCACAGAAAAACACAGCAAAAGGGCCTCAGCAGTCTCTAGTACAGTCCCTGCTCAATGCCAGGATTCTGCTAGCGCAGACGGGGAGCCCTCTGGCCACTGCTTGGATACCTCCAAAGACAGGGAGCTTACTACTTCTCCAAGCTGTCCACTTTTCCATTTTCAGCCAGCCCACATTGGGAGAACACACCCTCCAGGAGCACTCGAGGGGCCCACACTGTGTGAGGGTAAAGACCCCTCCCCCCTACCAGGTAGCTCATCCCATCCCATCAGGACTGGCCTCCTTCCCAAGTTCCCAAGCACAATTCCACCAACAGAGGGTTCCACGTGGTCCCAGCTCAGGTGGGGAAGCCACAGGGCAGGTGGGGGAGGGTGGCTCCAGGAGCAAAGGCTTCAGTAACCTGCCAAGCAGGCAGCTGGGCTTCACCTCTCTGTTCACCGCCCCCCCCCCCCCCCCCCGCCCCCGAGCCACAATCCCGCCCAACCGTGTGTCAGGCTCGGTGAGGGTATATTTCGTGGAGCACTTTGGTCTTTCTGGAAGTTTTCCAGATATTCTCTCAGCACATGTCCCTCTCCGAGGCACATGAGGGAGGGACTGACGTGCAGTGAGACCCAGGGGTTCCTTGTCTTCCCGGTGTCCCATGGCACGGTAACAGCTAGAACCGCTCCCAGCCACCCTGCCCCACATCAGGTGGTCTCTGCTCAGGAACCATGAAAGGGCCGAAAAAAAAGCATCTAAATTAAGAGGCTCATGGGGCACCTGGATGGCTCAGTCGGTTGAGCATCCGACTCTTGATCTCAGCTCAGGTCACAGCCTCAGGGTCGTGAGTTCAAGCCCCACGTTGGGCTCCGCACACACACAAAAAGAGGCTCTGCCCATGACTCCTGAGGGTCCTCTGTGTGCACGTCTGTACTTGTAGCCAGTGAACTAGAACTTGTCGACCGCCCTTGATTTTAGAGATGGCGAGACTGAGGTTGCACAGCTGGCCCTGAGCCACTCTCTGAAAGATGGCCCCAGGCCCCTGTGCCCGTGCTCTACTTCTACTTAAAATACTCAGAAGACAGGGGCGCCTGGGTGGTTCAGTCGTTAAGCGTCTGCCTTCGGCTCGGGTCATGATCCCAGGGTCCTGGGAT